TGAGGTCTGGAGAGGTGTTAAGCTGCACCCATAACCTCTTTCATAAAACTACAGGAGATAGGAAACGAGTGAGGAGGTAAAGTTAATGAGATAAAAGATATGGGAACACTGGAGGCAGAGGGGGAAGAAAATTGGTAGACAAAAGAGGAGATAGGTGACACGAGAAGGGGAAGGGGAGACGAGATAGGAGGTAAGGGGACATAAGGCAGATGGGACGATGAAGGAAGTAGTGGGGATATCTAGCAGCCGTGTGTGAGTCTGTTAGATAGCAGTGAGCGAAGGAAAGTGCTTTTCATGAGTTTTGTTGCTGGAGTGTGAGCAAGGTAACATTTTTGAAGGTATTCAGGAAAACCCGTTGCCCGGATTTGAGTCCTGGAGGTGGGAAGTACAATGCTTGTACTCTGAAGGACGGGTGGGGACAAGGCATTAATAGGGGCATCTGAACTACAGTACTGGCGCGCCGCTGGCAAGATAGTGGCGGAATGAGCAATGGTAAAAGTATTTCTTCTCGGGTCACCCTGCCTGGGTGGGTGACAGCAGGAGTCTTAAAAAACAATTTGAGGGCTAGCAGCGACCATCAGCCTGAACCATCATGAAATATAATTTTCACTTGTTCTCAGCAACAACCACTACATGTAAACTGACCCAAGTTGGCCAGGACTATGACAGCTCGAAAAGGATGGGAGGGAGAGGAGAGAGAAGGTAGGGAGAAGAGAGAGAGAGAAGTAGGGTGTGAAGAGATAGAGTGTAGGGAGAGAAGAGAGAAGGTAGAGAGAAGAAGAGAAGGTATGAAGAAGGAGAGAGAGAAGGTAGAGAGAAGAGAGAAAAGATAGGGAGAGGAGGGAGAAGGTAGAGAGAGTAGAGAGAAGTGACTCCAACTTCATCCTGTTCCCTACTTGTATGTCCCATGACAATAAAAATGCTTTCAAATGAGCTGATGTAGATAACAGCTCATAGCTTGTCATAAAGTTAGGAATCCTTATGACTCACGAAATCGTAATGACACGATTGCAAACAAACCATACCACGGGTGGGATTGAACCCGCGGTCAGAGAGTCTCAAAACTCCAGACCGTCGCGTTAGCCACTGGACCAGCTAGCCACAATAAGATTCGTCCAGCTAGGTATATTTCTACACCATAGGAAGGTTAGCATAGGCACCACTGTGACCACAAATGCAAGTTTTTACAGGCGAATCTCCAGCTAGCGTGGCCGTGACGAACTCTAGCTCAAGTCCCCTCACTGCCGTCAACATGACTCACGAAATCGTAGTGACACGATTGCAAACAAACCATACCACGGGCGGGATTGAACCCGCGGTCAGAGAGTCTCAAAACTCCAGACCGTCGCGTTAGCCACTGGACCAGCTAGCCACAAGAAGATTCGTCCAACTAGGTATATTTCTACACAATAGGAAGGTTAGCATAGGCACCACTGTGACCACAAATGCAAGTTTTTACAGACGAATCTCCAGCTAGCGTGGCCGTGACGAACTCTAGCTCAAGTCCCCTCACTGCCGTCAACATGACTCACGAGATTCGTCTGTAAAAACTTTCATTTGTGGTCACAGTGGTGCCTATGCTAACCTTCCTATGGTGTAGAAATATACCTAGTTGGACGAATCTTATTGTGGCTAGCTGGTCCAGTGTCTAACGCGACGGTCTGGAGTTTTGAGACTCTCTGACCACGGGTTCAATCCCGCCCGTGGTATAGTTAGGAATCCTTAACCTGTAAATAGCTTGTCAATAAAGCTAGGGATCCTTAACATAACCTTGTCAAACCCTGAGTAAAAAAAAAAGTAAGGAGAGGAGAGAAAAGGTAGGGAGAGGAGAGAGAGAGTATGGTTAAGAGAAGGCAGATAGAGTGAATAACAGACAAGGTAGGGAGACGGGAGAGGATGTAGGGGGGACGAGGATAGGAGGTAGGGGGGACGAGGGATAATAGGTAGGGGGACGAGGGATAGGAGGTATATAACGCGATTATTTCGTAAGATGAAAGTGGGTGCGAGAATGATAGATGTCTTCGGAGGCTTCTTTGCTTATTTGCAAAGTAGTGGTGGGTACAGAGGCTTGTGTGTTGTGCCCATGGCCCGGGAGGGCCATCCCACGAGAGAGAGCTACTAGTAGGCCTTGTGTCTTCCTGCTAGGCCGCTGTGTGAGTGAGAGTGTGTGGGACCAGCTTCCCACAGACCTGGACAGGCCAGAGGGCAGCACCTGAGTGGCACGAAATATGAACTAGGCTGGCAGACAGCAAGGCTGTCTGTGCAGAGAGCAAGGCTGTCTGTGCAGATAGTACAGGCTGTCTACACTCGCTCGGCCACCTACCTCGACAATACTGATGGTAAAAGAAACTCGGTCTCTCTCTCGTAGGAACAGGGCACAGAACACAAAATAAAAAACATATATATACATATGGATATGGAAAAAAAAACTTCCTACAGGGAGGGAAGAAAAAAAACATGTGGGGTGTGCTAAACATCATGGTCATAGGCAGTGAGCGTCGAAGGGCATCACTGCACGCCTTCCTGCGTCTGGACAGATACTGCAACACAGGAGACATCGCTGAGCTGTGACATAACAGGGTATGGTCTCCTCTGGAATGGTGAAGCAGTCATCGTAGGAGTCGCTGCAAGTTTTCACTCAACCTGGGGCATGACATGCTGGTGCCCTCGACTGAGGCGTCGACAAAACTCGGCAACTGGGCAGGACTTCTGGCAAGCGATTCAGGAGGACATTTCTCGACTGGTACTGTCGCTGGGCTGTCACTGCCGGCGAGCATGGAGCAAGTTGTGGAGCAAGTCATGGCAGAAACGACTGGGCGAAACATCTGGGAGTCGTAAATCATCATACACCAGACTGCAGTAAGTGAGCTAGCAGTCAAAGTGACATCTTCTTTGTGCAGGCTGCTCACTGAAGCTTGTGACACGAGGCTGACACAGCGCCTGCCAACAGGGCTAACTGCGGCTTGAGGAGTGTCATTCTCTCGGCAGTTGGAGTTATAGCAGAGGTTAGTCTAAGCATCCCCAGACTTGTTTCTCTACATATAACTGCATTCTGAAGGTCTGGAGGTGAAGTGAAGCAAATCTCTATGGGAATCGTAGCAGGTACGATTCTGCAGAACATCACAAGTGTCAAACATAAGAGCTTTCTGTACAAGGGGGCTCGGGCTCAGAGCTGACTGATATCAGCTGCCAAGCCCACTGGTCACATGGGTGACTTAACACAGTGGTTCTACACAAAGGCCTGACCGAAGACCTCACTGGACACACGGAAAACTTTACAGACACCAGCGGTACATGAAGTACAACATGGCTTAAACTAGCAAATGATGTTTTTCTGTGCACAAAACTGACACTAAGCCATACACTAACATGTGAGAACACTGACTGAGAGGAATTAATTAACACACGACATATATCTTCTCTCAATCTTCTCGACAATACTGAAATAATTACTAGAAACACTCGATGTGACATGTGTGATGTCAGGCTTGATGTTGTGAGGTGATGTCAGCAGCACTGTGATGTCAGCAGACATCTCAAGGTGATGTCAGGCAGACATCATGACATCATGAAGTCGGGCAGCATCGTCGGTGATGTCAATGTGATGGGGGCAGCAGACCACAGCATGTGGCCTGGGATATCTGGCTTGGTAACCTACGTGGCTTGTAGATCCACGTGACATCGCCCACACCCCACATGGCGTCGGGATCCATGTGGTGTCGTGATCTATGTGGTATGCTGATCCACATGGCTTACTGATCAACGTGGCTTACTGATCCACGTGACTTGCTGATCTACATGGCTTGCTGATCCACATGGCTTGCTGATCCACGTGGCTTGCTGATCTACGTGGCATGCCGATCCACGTGACATGCTGATCCACATAGCTTCAAGTGGCCTCAGGCACTCGGATACACAGCACTGGCAACCATTTCACACAAAAAACAGCAAAAAACACAGCAGAGGGAGTGAGTAGTGGTGAGTGTATGGTAGTGTGGTGGCGAGGAGCGTGGGTGAGTGTATGGCGAGGGAGCATCTAGCCACTTCCTCCTCCTCCCACCCACAAACACAGGGAAACACATTGGATGCAGAAATCACCACAAAACTCACCTCTGGCTTGCTGAAACAGCTGTTCTGAGCTGAACAACAATGGCAACATACAAGTGATGCTGAACACGTGACTTGAGAAATAACGTGGGACGCTGTAGTGTGGGGTCACTGGGACGCCACTTACAATTCTCGAAGAAATTCGGCAAATTTTGGCTGGATCCTGCTTGTACCTGTGTCTGGATGCTGAAACGTGCAGACACGACATCAGGATAACTCGTTGAGAGACGGATGCTTCTTGTATAGGGTGAAAAAGTGAAGATGACTTCATCCCTTCCTCTCTCCAGGCAAACACAACTGCTGCGACCACCGCTTCCCACCAATTATAACGGATTATTTGGTGAACTGAAAGTGGGGTGTGAATTATAAACGTCTTCGCGAGACTTCTTTGTTTATTGAAAAGTCGTGGTGGGTACACAGGCTTGTGTGTTGTGCCCATGGCCCGGGAGGGCCATCACACGAGAGAGAGCTAGTAGTAGGCCTTGTGTCTTCCTGCTAGGCCGCTGTGTGAGTGAGAGTGTGTGGGACCAGCTTCCCACAGACCTGGACAAGCCCAGAGGGCAGCACCTGAGTGGCACAAAATATGAACTAAGCTGGCAGACAGCAAGGCTGTCTGTGCAGACAGTACAGGCTGTCTACAGGTAGGTGGGACGAGGGATAGGAGGTAGGTGGGACAAGGGATAGGAGGTAGGTGGGACAACGGATAGGAGGTAGGTGGGACAACGGTTAGGAGGTAGTGGGACAACGGTTAGGAGGTAGGTGGGACAAGGGATAGGAGGTAAGTGAGACAAGGGATAAGAGGTAGGGACGATGAGGTATAGGAGGTAGGGGGGTAAGAGGGAGGAGGTGGTGTTGAACTATGATGAATTACTAACCAAACCGTGTATCTACAGGTGATGTGCTCCACTGTGATGAGTTTATCAACAGTGATGAATTCTTCATCCACTCCCCTGGCTACCCTAACAACTACCCTGCCAAGTGAGTATATAATGAGATAAGGGTTTATAATATGTATAAATTGACTAGATAATACACAGGTATCTTTCTCATAAAACGTGAACATTAATATAACGCCTGAGTCTGGCTTCCACAACATGCACTTATACGTGGGCATAAAACACTGTTTTATGCCCACGATCCTGCCGAGTGGGCATAAAATACTAATTCCCATTGCATGCCCTCCAAAGTGGGAATTAAAAAAGCTATTTGGCACAACATGTCCTGTCTAATTTGATTTTCACAACATACCCAGCGAAGGCTTGCCCCCACATAATGCCTTGTCATGTTTTGCTTCCTCAGCATGCCATGCTGAGTTTGGCTTCAGCGTCATGTCCTGCTAAAATTAGATTCCACAACATACCCTGTCAAATTTGGCTTCCAAGACTTTCCTTTGCACATCTGGCTTCCACAACATGCCCTTTTAAGGTTGTCTTACGTATTATGCCCTTGTAAGTTTGGATTCCACAACAGGCGCTGCTAAGTTTGTCCTTCACATAATTCACTCCCAAGTTTTGCTTCCACATAAAAGCTTGCAATTTTGGCTTCATCAACATGCCCTATCAAGTTTGGCTTCCACAACATACTCTGGTAAAATTTTCCCTCCATTTTTGGCTTTCGCAACATGCAATATCATGCTATGCTTTTGCCACATATCTTTTCAAGCTTGTCCTCCACATCATGGCTTGCAACCTTGGTTTCCTCAACATCTGGCTTCCACAATGTGCCCTGCTGAGGTTGGATTCCACATGCACCATCATGGTTGCCTTTCACAAAATGCCCTGCCAAGGTTTGCTGTCACATCATGCTGTGCTTCCACAACAAGCTTTGGTAAATTTGACTTCATAATGCTCTGCTAAGTTTAGCTCCCACAACATGCACCGCCTAGTTTGGCTTCTTTTCACAACATGCTCTGCTAAGTTTAGCTTCAACAAAATTCCCTGCCAAGTTTGGCTTCATATAATATTCTGCCAAATTTGGCTTCATATAATATCCTGCCAAATTTGGCTTCATATAATGTCCTGCCAAGTTTGGCTTCATGTAATATCCTGCCAAGTTTGGCTTCATAAAATGTCCTGCCAAGTTTGACTTCGTATAATGCCCTGCCACGTTCGGCTTCATATAATGTCCTGCCAAGTTTGACTTCGTATAATGTCCTGCCTCGTTTGGCTTCATATAATGTCTTGCGAAGTTTGGCTTCATATAATATCCTGCCACGTTTGGCTTCATATAATGTCCTGCCATGTTTGGCTTCATATAATGTCCTGCCAAGTTTGGCTATATATAATGTCCCGCCAAGTTTGGCTTCATATAATGTCCTGCCAAGTTTGGCTTCATATAATGTCCTGCCAAGTTTGGCTTCATATAATGTCCTGCCAAGTTTGGCTTCATATAATATCCTGCCAAGTTTGGCTTCATATAATGTCCTGCCAAGTTTGGCTTCATGTAATATCCTGCCAAGTTTGGCTTCATAAAATGTCCTGCCAAGTTTGACTTCGTATAATGCCCTGCCACGTTCGGCTTCATATAATGTCCTGCCAAGTTTGACTTCGTATAATGTCCTGCCTCGTTTGGCTTCATATAATGTCTTGCGAAGTTTGGCTTCATATAATATCCTGCCACGTTTGGCTTCATATAATGTCCTGCCATGTTTGGCTTCATATAATGTCCTGCCAAGTTTGGCTATATATAATGTCCCGCCAAGTTTGGCTTCATATAATGTCCTGCCAAGTTTGGCTTCATATAATGTCCTGCCAAGTTTGGCTTCATATAATGTCCTGCCAAGTTTGGCTTCATATAATGTCCTGCCAAGTTTGGCTTCATATAATGACCTGCCAAGTTTGGCTTCGTATAATATCCTGCCAAGTTTGGCTTCGTGTAATATCCTGCCACGTTTGGCTTCATATAATGCCCTGCCAAGTTTGGCTTCATATAATGCCCTGCCAAGTTTGGCTTCATATAATATCCTGCCAAGTTTGGCTTCATATAATATCCTGCCAAGTTTGGCTTCATATAATGTCCTCCCAAGTTTGGCTTCGTATAATATCCTGCCAAGTTTGGCTTCATATAATGCCCTGCCAAGTTTGGCTTCATATAATATCCTGCCACGTTTGGCTTCATATAATATCCTGCCAAGTTTGGCTTCATATAATATCCTGCCAAGTTTGGCTTCATAAAATGTCCTGCCAAGTCTGACTTCGTATAATGCCCTTCCACGTTTGGCTTCATATAATGTCCTGCCAAGTTTGACTTCGTATAATCTCCTGCCACGTTTGGCTTCATATAATGTCCTGCCAAGTTTGGCTTCATATAATATCCTGCCACGTTTGGCTTCATATAATGTCCTGCCATGTTTGGCTTCATGTAATGTCTTGCCAAGTTTGGCTTTATATAATGTCCTGCCAAGTTTGGCTTCATATAATGTCCTGCCAAGTTTGGCTTCATATAATGTCCTGCCAAGTTTGGCTTCATATAATGTCCTGCCAAGTTTGGCTTCATATAATGTCCTGCCAAGTTTGGCTTCGTATAATATCCTGCCACGTTTGGCTTCATATAATGCCCTGCCAAGTTTGGCTTCATATAATGCCCTGCCAAGTTTGGCTTCATATAATATCCTGCCAAGTTTGGCTTCATATAATATCCTGCCAAGTTTGGCTTCATATAATGTCCTGCCAAGTTTGGCTTCATATAATGTCCTGCCAAGTTTGGCTTCATATAATATCCTGCCAAGTTTGGCTTCATATAATATCCTGCCAAGTTTGGCTTCATATAATATCCTGCCAAGTTTGGCTTCATATAATGTCCTGCCAAGTTTGGCTTCGTATAATATCCTGCCAAGTTTGGCTTCATATAATATTCTGCCAAGTTTGGCTTCATATAATGCCCTGCCAAGTTTGGCTTCATATAATGTTCTGCCAAGTTTGACTTCCACACAATACCCTTCACAACAAACTGAGCTAACATTAGGATTCACATCAACACTAAAAGAATAATAATGTCGATTGAGATACTTGAGTAACATTTGGATGTATTGTGTAAAAGTTTCGCCAGCCAGTGGCTTCTTCAGTCCAATACAGAGAAGAACGGAGGAAGACGAGAATGAGTTTGAGGTAATCAGTCCCTCAGCTTGAAGATGATGTGTTCAGACCATCAATCTTCTTAGTTAAGTGACTCATTCATCAACTTATTTGCTCGTATTTTGGGTAAGTAAGAGGTAATGCAAGCTGGAACAAGAGCTAACTGGGAGATGGCAGTGCCCCACGTAACCAGGTGGGAGATGGCAATCCTGCATCTAGCCAGGTGGGAGATAGCAATCTACACCTAGCCAGGTGGGAGATGGCAATCCCACACCTGGCCAGGTGGGAGATGGCAATCCCACACCTGGCCAGGTGGGAGATGGCAATCCCACACCTGACCAGGTGGGAGATGGCAATTCCACACCTAACCAGGTGGGAAATGGCAATCCCAAACCTAGTCAGGTGACAGTCACACACCTGTATATTGTTTCACTTCCCTTGACTATGCGACAATCCCACACCTTCACACCTGCTCCACTTCACCTAGCCAGGTAATAGCTTTGCATATGTATATTGCCCTACTTCCCTTGGTCATGTAAATTTGCTTTATTCACCTGGTCAGGTGACAGTCTCACACTTGGCCAGGTGACAGTCTCACACCTGGCCAGGTGACAGTATCACACCTGGCCAGGTGACAGTCTCACACCTGGCCAGGTGACAGTATCACACCTGTGCATCTGGTTCCTACAAGTCAGTAGCGCCTAAATATCCTTAATAAATCCAATAGACTGTTTATATTTTTCTTAAAAAAGGCAAGAGTAGCAACAAAGGTAAACTATTACTTTACACATCATGGGTAAGGCCTCATCTAGACCGGTAAAATTTCTGGCCTCCATACTAGAGAATAGACATAAATGCTTTGGTTAACTATAAATTAATGGGATTCATATATCTCAACTTGCATAAATTTAGATTTAAATAGGACGTAGAAAAGTATTATAATCGAACAATATTTGCAGGCGAAATAATTATTTTAAGGACAACGTTTCGAACACACGTGAACATTAGGTTAATACACATCACATGTGACATTTCTACATCACACAGAAAAATAATACGAGGTAAATCCATGTAACAGTCACGTAACAGAAGACTGGTTAGTGACTGTCTAGTTGGTAAATAACCTACACAAAGTATTTGTTAAGGAGAGTGCGACGAGGCTAAATCATCCAACTGTTGGATAGGTTTGATAGTTTTGATGTGTGCAGCCTCTGAACACCGTCTTCTTGTCCTGTTGCCTCCTCACTCATAATTCACTGAGATAAATATAGGTGCTCATATGTAGTACAAGATAGTGATTCCAAATTTGAAGTCTAAATTAAGCTTGCACGTCAGGAGTTTTAGTTATTTGAAAACATATAATTTCAAGAATTGTTTATTCATATATTATGTTCCAGTAAAATTTACAGCATGGAAATAGAATGAGTCATTATAAAGTAATTGTAAAATAATGCACAAAAGACTTTAAGCAACATTTTCTCAGTGGAAGAAGAAAATAACTAAAATATTTTAATCATCTGGCGTTACGCTTATGACCAACAGTAATACTACTACTACTACTACTACTACTACTAATGATAATAATAATAATAATAATAATAATATTAATATTAATAATATCTGTATTTCTACAAGAACATGTGCAAGGTATACAGGCCTAGCTGACATCAATGACATACTACTATATAAAAAGCCGCTTGTTATACAGAGCATTTCAGGCAAATTAGGCCAATTTTTATCCCAAAATGCGACACACACTAGTCGACTAACACCCAGGTACCCATTTTACTGATGGGTGAACAAGGACAGCAGGTGTTTTATGGAAACTCGTCCAAGTGTTTTCTAGCCGTACAGGAGAATCGAACCTCGGACCTCTGTATGTGACCTGAGTGTACTAGGAATCGAGCTACGGGAATCTATCTCAAGAAAACAGCAGTAGTCCCCTATCATGTTGGGATTAAACGCCCCTGATAGCGTCCCTCCATTGTACTGATATCCTAACTGAACCCTTTCACCATGCTCATCATTAACAGCACCAAGACTGGATGGAAAAATTTCCTAGGGTGAATGAAGAAAGTCCATTTCTAGAGACATACGGCAACCCGGTGCTCTGTAGGCTTCTAACATGTTTTGAACTAACCTGGCATAATTGTTTATTGCTTGTCTTCCTAGGAAGTTCTGGGCAACTGTCTGAAAGCTTCCCATACAGTCAGCACCAGTGGAGTCCGTTTTGATAGGAAGATTAGATGGGATAACAGTTCACGTATTTGTGACCCAACGAATACTCTGGTTTTAAGTTTTTGCATCAGTTAAAACTCTTCCATTTTCTTCCTTAAGGTAAAGAACTCCTGCACCTTCACCATTCATACCCTTTACAAAGTTCATCATTAAGTCTAACTTTATATGCAATGGTGGAAGGAACATTTTCTGAGGTGCACCAGTGGTCTGTGTGTATGTTATTTTTCTGAACTAAGAGAAGAGTTACTTGGTGGGTCTGACCTGAGATCTGTATCTGAGGAACGTCAGATAAGACTCGCTGGGCAGTCCTCGCTCGGCATATTTGTGCAGATGTCTAGACTAGAGGAGAGTTGTATGGTGTAGAGAGTGGAGGTTATAGAATTGAAATCTTAATTCATGACAAGTGAATCTTTTGTTGTATTACGTAAAAAAAATTGTGGATTGTTGTGGGTATTAACGAAAATGAGGAATTATTTGGGTTATCCTGGTTGAGTGAAAATGTGTATTAGTGTCATTTATGAAAAAATGTATCGAAAGGGGAAAAATTGTGAAATAAAATGGAAAATGATGTGGGTTGTGGGTATTGTTGTTGAACTAGAGATGCCGAGAAAAAGGTTATAAGTTGTGGGTTGTTGAGGTTGTTATGGTGACAGACCCGATTCGGTCTGTTGGCTTGTGTGTGTGAGGTCATCACGTGACGTCACTGATCGCTGAGCAAACACAGGTGGGGTGACGTCATGCATGCGAGGAAGTTACTTGTTAGAACTGCATAGAGAGGATCCAAAAATTTGATCCTAGGAAGTGGAGGGAAAATCTTTGTATTATTGATATCGAGAAAAGTTATTCCATGGAGGGTGATCTTGATCCGAGGAGGTGAATAACGGATTTTGGGATGGGGGTGGAAGTGGGAGGCGTGGGTGAGAGAGAGGTGTTGATCCGAGGAGTTGGAGAATTCAAGAAAATGGAAATCTTTTGGGGGGATGGAGGTCTTGATCCAAGGAAGTGGAGGAGAAATATTGGGTTTAGAGGGTATTGGGAGATGAAAGTGGATGGTGGGAGGTGCGGGGGAGGAGATGGAGGGTAAATCTTGATCCAAGGAAATAGAGCAGGAATATTGTGTTTAGAGGGTGGTGTGAGCGAGAAGGAGATCTTGATCCAAGGGGATGGAGCAGGAATATTTGAGCATAGAGGGTATAGGAGTGGGTGGTGGTGGGAGGTGGGGCAGGGGGGATGGAGAAGGAGGGTAAATCTTGATCCAAGGAAGTAGAGCAGGAATATTGTGTTTAGAAAGTGGTGTGAAGGAGAAGGAGGTCTTGATCCAAGGAGATGGAGCAGGAATATTTGGGCATAGAAGGTATAGGAGTGGGTGGTGGTGGGAGATGGGGCAGGGGGGATGGAGAAGGAGGGTAAATCTTGATCCAAGGAAGTAGAGCAGGAATATTGCATTTAGAGGGTTGTGTGAAGAAGAAGGAGGTCTTGATCCAAGGAGATGGAGCAGGAATATTTGGACATAGAGAGTAGAAGTGGATGGTGGGAGATGTGGGGGAAGGGTGTTGATCCGAGGAAATGGGGAGCATAAGAAAGTGAAATTCAAAAAAAATTGGAAAGAAATCGGAAAAAATTCTGGTGGACAGGGGCGATCTGGACGACGCTGCAGAAGGTGCTTCAGGGGCAGCGCAGGCGGGGTGCGGGCATGGGTGGGCGCGGGCGTGGATGGGTGTGGGTGGGCGCAGGCGGGCGTGTGAGCGTGCGGGCGGGCGTACGGGCGGGCGTACGGGCGGGCGCGCGGGCGGGCGCGCTGCACGGGACCAGAAGG